CATGTGTCTGTCACGTGTGCACATCTGTGAGTGTTCGCGTGTGTGTACCTGAATGAACAAACATGCCGGGCGGGGCAGCAAACACACCACACCACACACAGCGGCCTTCCCGCAACCTGAAGCAGCCAACCGACCAAAGACATCCGTGCATTGCATGTGTGTGTGCGCCAAGTGCATGTCCGTCCGTACAGCCCTGCCCTGCGTACCGGTCGGTGGAGCGGTGCTTGGAGGGGGGAGGGAAGAAGTGCCTATCATTTCCTTTTTGGTATTGCCTTCTTGTGGGCCTCTCTTTTCCCTCTCTCGGCCTTCTTCAGGGGGCCTTTGGCTTTGCTTTCCTTCTCTCTTCGTCCCTCCCCTTGTCTGTCGGGCAGCCAGCCACCGAGTAAAAACTGACTAGATGACGTCAGAAATGACAGTAAAAATGACTAAAGAATGCAATGCCGCACACAGACAGGCCAGACGAACGAAATCGAGAGGGACAGGCAGGCGAAAACGAAACCCATCGGCCATGCGGACACGTGTGTGAGTGTGAGGGGCAGAGCCGTCATCAGCCAGGCCATGAAGGGGGAAAGGGACACACATGCACGCAGCCATCACAAAGATTTTCGAAGGGCAGCACGGCCAGACAGCCGGCCATGGGCCCCTCCTTTTCTTGTCTTTTTTTGCGGCGGCCAGACGCACGCAGTAAGCATTAGGGTACACGAGGCCCCTCACACAAACACACCCACGCCAGCCAGACGACACAGAGACAGACAAATGAATGGGATGCACACACACCGCTGCAGGCCGGGCACCGCTCTCCTTTCCCGCACTTAAGTGGTGCCGGTATGTGCGTGTACACACGACCGGACACACACGCGTCCCCGGCACTAAAACCTATCTGCCGCCACACACACCGCCCTCCCACTCACCCCACCCCCTCCCTCAGACACACACAACCCCGCCCCACAACACGCATAAATGACGGTAAAAACTGACTAAAGAGTGACACACATGGGGAACGGCAGCAGGCAGGCAGAGGTGGATAGATAGATGGACGGATGGATGGATGGATGGACGTGTGGCGCATCACGACGACACCTCTCTCTCTCTCCTTGCTCACACGCACCCACCACACGTGGCGACGCACTCAAACACATCCACACATCAATGCATTGCAATGCATCCACACGGCCCGTCCGTTGGGCAACACACTGATGGGTGGAGGGAGGGAGGGATGGATGGGTGGATGGATAAACACACTGGCTACCGTACAACCATACAGGCACCAAAATCTGCTCTCACATGTGTAAACACATGCACCCTCTCTCTCTCTCGGAAGGCGCCGCACACAGACAGACGCACACACACAGCCACACACAGACAACGGCTTGGCCGTAGGTACACATCACGGCACGGCAGACAGCTGCATGCACCATGCATTCATTACGTTAAAAATTGGGCTCACTCACTCACACACAGATGCACTTCGGTATTCATGGACGGACCAGTGAGTGAGTGTATGAACATTACTTACAGACGGCACATGTATGACATCACACCGTGCTGGCGAGACTGTACATGCCATAGGCAATGCCCTTACCCCCACATCACACCACACAATAATTAATTAATTCGCGGGGGCCGAACCAACTCTCGTGCACCCGACGGCTCCACCTCGTCCTGCTCGTCCAGCAACACAGACGAACGGGCGCGGGGACCCTTGGCAGCAGCCGGGGGGTAGCGGCCATAGTGCGGTGACTGGGTGGTACGGCTCCGACGGGCCACGCCGGAGAAGGTCTGGTCTGGACCGGACGGGTGGCCTCCTCGAGCTCCACACGCGGGGCGGTGGGCGCCGAGATGGCCTCGGTTGGATGGATGATGCGTCTGGTTCGGGTGTGGACTGGATGCTGCCGCGGTGGTCCTCTATGGGTCGCTCCACCTTCCTCCAGATGCCGATGTCGGGCTGCTCCGCAACGAACG